ATGTTCTGATTTTCTTTACTGTATGTAAAGAGCTGTGGTGATGGTGAAGGGAGACATGAACATTGGCTCGGTTCAGGTTGAGTTTCAGCACCATGGACAGAGACTACATTTTCTCCAAAAAGGCAACTCACCCCATTTTAACTCATGAAGGTCAGTATAATAATCATGGGGAATAGTATTCAGCTTGTCAAACAGTTCAATCAAGTGTCTCTGGAGGAGCTTTGTCAAGACTGGTGATGAAGGTTAACTCAGCTTGGGCTTGGAGACTTCAAAGATACAAATGTGAGAAAGGGCATACAGACAGACAGATACAAACGTTTAAATATATACAATTATAGTGCCTGGTAATATGCCGTAGATGGTTAATACTAGTCTAGTAGAAACTGTGTATATTTAGATATCTATCTATATGTATCTATAAAGTATACAGTAACGTATGCGCACAGACCCAACCATAACCTGAAAATCACACAATGGACGGTTAAGGCAGAGAAAAAAATGTGGGTGAGAGAAGCAAAAACATTTTAAAAGTAACAGCTGATGTTAATGTCAGCTAAATAATGTCACAGAACAACCATGATCCAAGATGCATGTTAATGTCAGACTCAGGAATAAAGGGAGGCTGGTCAGAGGAGGGGGATTCATAGGCCACATATTTGCAGGTCCACTCCTATGATCCAGAGCAGGTGTAGGTGTATAGGAAAACAACTGAGAATGAGAGAGCATTTTGCCTGTAGCTAAGTTGCATAAGATCAGTACGATAATGACTGGTGCTTAAACTAGCAGGATCTGTGATTGTTTGAATTAAAAACAGGTACTAGAGGAAACAAAGATGAGTCTTGGGGTGGCTTATGTCACGAAAGATGTTGTTATTCACCATTGGTTTTAAGTAATGGAATGGCCTTTTTAAAGCCATTTCCACCACGTTTTCACCCCAACTGGAAAAAAATGGCCGTTCTAATTCAGGGTCTGACCAGGAGGCAGTGGGGTCAGCTGTTTGCAATGCAGGAGACAAACTACAAACTCCCCAAAGTTTCCACTGACTGAACTGATATAACTGCCTTTTTAAAATGTCAACATCAAAATTTATTAAATCTAAAGCACAGCCCACACAGCTGGCTCAGGGCCATCTCTGTATGGGTTGTGAGTCTGTTGCTGGAGCATGGTGCATCATCTAAAAAAATAACCCAGACTGACTCACACTCCTCTCCTACAGTTAGCTGTTGGCTGTTACAGTGGCGCCAACAAGGCAAAATCCCAACACATCCCCCAAAGCCGTCAAAAAGTATTAGCTCATCCATGCTCAGGGATGGGGCCATACTGTATAAATGCCCCTTATGGGCTACCATGTGCCCCAATGAAAGGAGCCTAAAAAACAGCGAAAAGCACTATGTGGTAAAAATAGACCGCTGATACAGTATATTCACGCCTGCCTGCCTTTTGAGGATTTGTGTTTGTCCTGAAATAGCTTGATGAGTCAGTTGCGTGCTGTGTGTGTGTGTCTGCGCATGGAGACAGGACCGCAGCGGTGGCGTATTTGCGTCTGAGTGGGTAAGAGAAGCTTTGGTGGTCAAAGAGAACAGGTGTTGCTGCGATATGCTCTGAAAATCCCCCCTGGTTGTTTTGGAGCAACATCTAATTTTAATTTGAATTGATAAGTTTAGAGTAGATATAGAAATAGAAGGAGATGAGACAGGAGGTGACAAGAAAGCAGTAAAGCAATAAGCAAACAGTTAGCTACTGTATTTACACATCCAGCGTGCACAGTTCAAGTTGTGTTTATAGCCATCCAGCAAATTTAAGTCCAATATTCCCACTCCTTTTAGACAGGCTTTTTTGGACCCCAACTCCTGAGGGAATCAACTGGCTCTTTAGCTGCCAAATGCTCGACTATGTTCATCAGCTAGTTGCTAACTGTGTATATTTGCTGTTTGGTGCTGGGCAGCTAGCGTACAGTGGGTTTATCAGTGGTTTATTGCTGAAAACAGCCAGACACAAATGGTGAGACTGAATGAAAACAGTGAAGTTGTGAGTTGTAAAACTGTAAAACCAAAAAATTAAGAGCTGAAAGATGCTAAAGCACTGTGTGGCACTGAGGTAAACAGACAACTGTTAATATAAACTAGTGACTAGTGCAGCATTAAGTCTATGTCATGAGATGTGTGTTTGCCTTTGAGTATTTATGTGTGCATTTCTGTGTCTGAACATGTGTGGGTGATGCAAGTACAGTTTGTATATAATAAAAAGATGTGATGGTTGTCATGTACAGTCAGAAGGACACACTTTATATTCTGGGTTATCTATTAATAGCCTAGCCTGCAGGTAGTAAGATGGACAGAAAACCAGACACTAAAATCCACTTTGAAGTTTCATCAGCTCCTGCTGGTTTGACTTCCAGATTTGAAAATACACAATAGATTAGAACTGAACATACTTCCTTCAACTTATAGCTTGTTGGCTCTTTCTATGATAAACCTACAGATGATGATACAGAGGATCTACCAGAAAACTGTCCAGTGCTGATATATTTCCTCACTTTTGATACACTCCACACATCTTCTGCCTTCAGTTTTTCCATCAAAGCTTTTTTTCTTAATACTCCTCTCCTCTATCTTTTTTCCTCAGTGTTTTTAACATAAACCTCCCTGAGGTTCTCCATCTCCAGTGAGGCATCTCACTTTCATTTTTCTCTTATATATATATTTCTGTTTCACATCACAAGACAGATTTAAAAATTGTCCTTATGCCTGCGCTGCCAGCATTCATTTCACCTCTGCATATCCCTTCACTAGTCCCACAGGTCTTCCTTTATCCTTTGTCTCTGTCTCTCCTGTGGTACATGAACAATACTTTTATTTTTTATTCCTGAAACCCTCTTTTATATCCTCATGCTTCACTCAAAATTACTTGTAAGCTCTTTTTTTTCCAACACCAGTTTTTTTTTATATGTTTTGAGCCATTTTTTACATCTCCATCTCTCTTCCTCGCTGCACTGTACTCCCCTTTCTATAAACTTCCAAAGTCTCTCCTCTTGTTTTTTATTGTGCTCGACGTGTCTTCTTGTCATTGGTACAAGGCTTAAACACCACTCTTAGTGACAAAGACCCTCCCATGGACACTGACAAAAGGTCTCATTACACAAAGGGGAAACAGAGCCAGCTGCATTCAGCATTCTGTGTTGTTCTTTTTGTCTCTTATATGTGTTCACATTCACACAGGCAGACATACTGTATATGCACCAAAAACACACACTGCCGTGTGTCTTATATGGTGGTGGAGCAACATGCTGCGACACGTACAGACACATGCAATAACAGCAAATACACACATACATGGTGTGAAACATATCCACATCCACACAGGACATGACCACACTGTGTATAACAGATTAAAATTCAACCCAACAAGCATAAGTCCAGCAGACGTTTTATCCACAAAGCTGCGATATATTTTTATGTATGTGACTTGGAGGTGGCAAAAATACTAATGCAAGCCCTTCTGTTCTTGTGGAGGGAAGTGGGGGGGTGGCATTGATCAAAGCTGCTTAATAGCAAGGTTCAACACTCTGTGCGCCTGTGGTGAGCTGAAGGCTGCCTCAGTCCTCATTACAGCCTCCATTGGGAGGCAGAGACAGGAAGTGTTGAAAGGAAGGACAAGGAAATGAATCTTCTGGAACTCTGCATCTCCATAAATCACAGCAGTGCACACAAAACACTTCAGCTCCTCTGGAAAAGGCCACACACACACACACACACACACGCATGCAGATACACAAACATCCACTAGCAAACATGGACATTCACGTGTGCACAAATGCTAAAATGCACTTGGAAACAGCCATATGTTTGCATCAACATACATCAAGATATAGAGGGGACATCCACTCACACACAAAAGCACAATCTAATCTAGACTTTAAGCTTCCATGTCTGGCGGCTGTAAACATGATTATTTCTTAGTCTGCTGAAAACTTCTGATCAGCTCCATTTTGTCTCTCCCTCTTGAATCTTATAATTCTGATTAAATCAGTTAACACAAGAGTCCAACTGTTTTATTTTTAACATCTCTAGCTGGCATGAACATTATTATTCCCCAGTCTGCTGAAACCTCTTCTTAATGTATCACACTGCAACAAATCTATTCTCCATTCAGAAAAGAGTTCTTGACAGAAAACCAACCAACAGCTTTTATTTAGTACAATTTCACAGCTTTGTCTGATTTACATCAGGTAATACTATATATTTCCCCAGTAAGTCCTCCAGCTGCTCCTGGGGGGCTGCTCCCTCCAGTGTACTCTGGGTTTGCCGAAGGTCTCCTCCCAAATGCAGGCTGTCTCGAAATACTCGTCCAGGAGGCATCCTTATCATATGCCCCAACCACCTCAACTGTCTCATTTTTGGATGAAAATTCTACTCCAAACTCTGAGCTCCTAGCTGAGGGTGAGTTTCCTGCAAAGGAACTATTTTGGCTTTGGATACACTTGTATCTCATTCTTTCAGTCAATACCCAAAACTCATGATCGTAGGTAAGAAACAATTAGTGACACAACAAAAGAGGAGGAAACTGCTCTACTGCACATCACAAGTAAAGGACAACATCATCTGCAAATAGTAGAGATGCCACCCTGTTTTCACCAGAAAGACACTCTCCTAACCATCAAAATCCTAAACATGGGAGGTACCATAGAGACCCTTGAATCCATTGCCTGTATTGAATGTGCTTGGCTTAATGCACAGAGAATTAATAACTTGCAGAAAAAGCCCAACAACATGTTGATGAATTGTGCAGTCAAGAAGCACTCAACTGTTTGTATCTTTCATCAGTCACTGTGTTATCATCCCAGTGACTAGTCTCAATAATGATGCATGAAAAAAGCACAACAAAGCAATAAGAGGAATTAAGACAGGACTCACCTATGGTGGAGAAGCAGCCGAGGCAGCAATCATCACAGAACATGGAAAGTAAAATCGACAAAAACAACAATTACCATTTGACATTTCTTAAAAGTTATTACTCAGGAGACACACCAGGATGTGAACTGTTGATGCACAACAACAGAGGTGAGTTAACATGACACCAACAAAGCCTTTTCCCAAATTCTTTTCTAGGGGAAGTTGTAAAGAAACAGGCAGCTAGTGAGGAAAACAGAGTTAATTGGACACAGGAGAAAGAAGACAGAGTGACACCTCACCCCTGAATGCAAAGGAAATGGAGCATGATTACAGTGTTAACACATACACCTGGACAGAATAGAAAAAGAGAAGGTTGGTTTTGATTTGGTGAAGATGCCTAGTGGTGTCGCTAAAGAGAAAGACTGTGATTGGTTAGTAGTAGCACACCTGTCAACAGCAAAACTGTTAATTATGAGAACATCCCCGCAGAGGATCATGGGGAATCACAGCTTAAAAAGCCAATGTACAGCCCCAGTTGGTCAACACTTGAGCTCATGCGTTAGTCACTCACAAACAGATCAAATTGGACAAGTCAAAAAAGCCCCAGCCAAGTTTTTAGACAAATGTGTCCATGCAAGGAACAATACAAAAGGGTCTAATTATCCATCTAACCCCTAATTAGTAAAAGGCACCCAAGCAATCAATCCTGCCCAAAAAAATCATATTTGAAATCAATATCAAATATCTGAACTAATCAAGCTGGATAGAAGGATCATGCAAGACAATAAACCATTTGTTTTTTTCTTTTAGTTACTCTACATTTAACCTCTATTTTGTCCGGGGTTGACTGCAACCAACCTTCGATGGTGGGGGCAAGTGGAGGGACCAAAGCTGGTTCTTCCATGGGATCAGCAAAGCTGGGAAAGAAGGGCTTAGCTGCAGGGTTAAGACCGGATCCTGGAATTCCCAGAGGGTTGACCGACGGAGGGGAAGAGGGGCTGATGACAGGGGATGCCTGTGGAGGGAACTTCTTAGCTCCTGGGGAAGTGGGACTCTTTACAGAGGATGAAGAGGATGAAGAACGAGACTTCTTGGATTGTTTCTGGGACGACTTGTCATCTTTGTGCTCTTTTGGTTGGATTTCCTGCGCTGTGGTTTTGGGAGAGCGGAGAGGTGCTGGGCTTGGGGTGTCAAAGGACAAGCCCAAGAGTAAAGGATGACCTGAGGTGCTCATGTCACTGAAGTCAAAAAGCTCGCTGTTGCTGCTAATGTGTGAGTCGTTCAGGAGCCACGAAGCATCTGAAGGTGAAAGAGGTGGAGCTGAGGCTAACACCTCACCTTTCTGTGAAAGGCCCGGGCTTGGCTGCGAGGCAGGGCTGAAAGCAGAGGTGTCTTCTTCAGGCATGTCTTGCACACAAGACTCTTGGAGGGAACTGGTGTTGTCAAACATCCCGCTATCAACCATGTCACTACCCGTCGCTTTATTATCTGGAGAGAGAGGTGGAGAGAAGGCCTGGTTGCTGTTGCCCAAACTGGCATTTTCGGTATCCACCAGGAGATCAAATGAATCACCAGGTTGAGGAGCCATGGGTTCGGATCCAAGTGTTGCATTGTTGGTGGTGGAGGGCATATTGAACGGAGCTGCTGTGGCTTTCAGCTCACTGTTCAGGACCAGTGGGCTAATGGAAGCTGCTGTTGGGGAGAATAGGTCTTGGGACAGCGGGGCAGGAACCAGACTTTCTTCTGGGTAGACCTCCTTTTTCCAGGGGCTCTGGCTGGTGTCCATCTCTGTGAATGAGGCTTCCAGGTTTGCCTGAGCTGAACTCCCTATATCCATCATCACCTCCTCTGTGATATGAGAGGTCGCTGCGGACGAAGGAACAAACGGATCCCCCATCACTGCCCACTCCCCTGGAAGCTTCTTCCTGCTCTTCCCCTTCTTCCCCCGGCCTCCACTCTTCCCAAGCTGCTCCTCCCAGCTACCCTCTCCTCTATCCCGCCTTGGGCCAATCCGGTGGTAGAAATCCTCTGTCGGGGGAGTGTTTTCTCCCTGTGCTTGCATCTCAGGTTGACCCCTGTTCTCAAGGTGTTCATAAGATCCCTCATCCTTCTGTCGCCTTTTCTTCTTCTTCTTCTGTTTTCGGTCCGATCCATCTCCCTCCCTTTCATCGCCTCCAGCGTAGGCAGGGCTCTCTCGGCTAGGCCAACTGTCAGGTGGGTCATCAGGCCTGGCTGCAAGATGGCCCGCATGGCGATTGATCACCGAGGTGACGCTGGGTGTGAAAGGTAGGTCTGTCGGTAGGCAGCCAGCCTGGTCTGGCCAGCCGTCGCCTAAGGCACCTTGTTGTGGGTGAAGAGGGGAGAGTTTAAAGTTGGGAGAGGTGGGTATGTGCATATGAATTGGTTCCCTTAGTCTAACTCAAACAGAAAATAACTGAGAAACTTAATATATTACAAAGAGGTAAACAGTCTTAGACTAAAACAACAAAAATAATTATAATACTGAAGGTACACAAATGTTTTCTAGAAGGATTTTTTAAAGATTTCTATCATTAAAGTTTTATAATTATATCTATTTTAGCTATTTTTATTCGATGAAGTGGTGGGAAAGCTGAAAAGACGACAAAATGGATCAGACACAGCAGAGAAGCTTCTGGAGGGATTCAATCCAAAGCCAGAAGGGGTCTTATTCCACAAAGTCTTAATCACTACATCCTTTGTGGATATGAATTGTTGGAGTGCTTTTTCTCTTTCATTTAATCTGATGCCCTTTAGTCAGACAAGTGGAGAATGTATGGATTTTTGATCATATTGAAATAGAAACCAAATAGAAATCCTTTGGAAAATCCAACCTGACTTGTAAAATTCCTTCAGTGTAAATGCTGGTTGTGTGAATGAAGTCTCGGAGGAATGAGGATCAAACACATACACACACACATTACACACACAAACATTCGCTCTTATGTAGAGAAGAGGAACTTTTGGGCGGCTGACTCACTGCAGCCTCGGGGGTCTAGTTTGCTGAAACTATTGGGCAGCAAAAGATCTCTGTTTCAAATCAAAACAGAGATCAAGATCAGGTGAGTGAGTGTGTGAATGTGTGTGCAGACACAAGTAATACATATGCAGTGTCTAACATGGACACAGACGGACACAAAAAAACCAAAAGTACTGCTTGATGGTCCCATAGAAAAGGTTAATTATAGGAAACGATGCTGTAACTAAAACTGCCTTTTTTGGTTTTGGGACATTGTATAGGTTTAATTGAAGAGGTAATAAAGCAAAGGGAAATGAGGTAGATGAGAGGAAAAAGAGTAAGAGAAAAACTGCCCACGGGTTGGTCTTATACTTTGGCCCAGTTTGTTTCTAGTTTTCAGTTATTTATACACACACACGCATACGTGCACGTGCACGCACACACGCACGCACACACACACACACACACACACACACACACACACACATAGAGAAGAACGGCTAAATTGGAGCAGCTGTCAGGCCCCATACAGTACAGTGGCTCTCAAGAGGGCCATATTTCATACTAACAAACCCATGACAGAAGTCTGCTCTCTATACTGTAAGTNCACACACACACACACGCACACGCACACACACACACACACACACACACACACACACACACACACACACACACACACATAGAGAAGAACGGCTAAATTGGAGCAGCTGTCAGGCCCCATACAGTACAGTGGCTCTCAAGAGGGCCATATTTCATACTAACAAACCCATGACAGAAGTCTGCTCTCTATACTGTAAGTGGGAGAGGCAGAGAAAGACATCAGCCAAGTGGAGGAGAATGACTTAAATGCTGTGTTGCACAATCTCATTAGGCTGTGGGAGCATCAGACAACAGGCGTCCCCCAGCATTTACATATACTGTTGTCACTGTGTCATTTCAACAGTAGAACAATTGAATGAATTACAAAACAGCATCACATAAATTGGCTGATATCCTTCTGTTCTCATATGAGACTTTGATCAAATGCTATTAAGACACTGGACTAAAGCTAAGGCTTGTACTGGTGGTGTAAGAATCAAGTTAGTAAAAATCTAAATTAAATAGATCTGAATTAAGAAATAAATTGTTTGAATGACAATGTTCTTTTAATGGCTTTCCAAGTGCAAATTAAACAATGCGTAAAAATACCATAAGAACCTCTTCTAGATATAACACTGCGTGTGAAGCAGCTACTGAGGGTTAATGACCTTGACCTGCAACAACACCATAAGACTTCCTAAACCAGAGTGCTGGTGTATATACAGTGATGCACAAGGATCCACACCCCTTCACTTCCAGGCAAATTTCAAAGCATTGCTCCCAACCTTCTGACTTCACATACAGTAAACAATCATGACTTTCTATTCACTATAGTACAGTACATTGCATATGTATTAAAAGTTCTTTTGGGTCCTTCCCTCATTTCTTTTCCTTTTGCTTTTTTTATTTTATTTTTTATAAATATCTGTAACATTAATGATTCGGGAACTTTGCTGCTTAGAATGTATAATCAGCAACTTTTCAAGGTCCCGGTTCAGCATTCTCCTGATCAACCACTGGTGATGACAATGAGCCTATAAATGTAACAGTATGCCACCAAAGACAGTGAAGAAGACTGCTAGCAAGCAAACATGGATGTCAACGATGCTGGGATTTAAAATAAAAAGAAAATACACTTTGCAGTTGTTTTATCAGGGAGGAAATGTACTTGGGACGTTTCTTAGACCTCAAGGATTCAATGTGGACAATGTGATGTGGTGAGAAAGACTGAATGCAAGAAATCTCCACAGAGCACCTTTATGTTCACAGAAAGCTAAACCAGTGACTCCGACGTAAACTTTATGCCAATTGATAGCCACATTTACTGTACTTAAAGATAAACTACTGTACTGTAAAGATAAATGTAAACTGCCCTGATTAATCCAGTATGACCAGTTGAAGGTTCTGAGCATCTGGTCATCTGGTCTGGACTCGGACTCACAGACTTATTTATAGGGATTCAGATAAATTATGTGCTAAAATGTATAATGTACTGTAAATATAATTAGGTCAGTATTCATTGTGTTGGTATTCAATGAATCTGATAAATCTGGTTTACTACTCTGCTCTATATCGGGGTGTAATTCAGATTCATGACAGAGTCCTTCCAGGGTTTCACTGATTTGAACTCTGCATCTTGTAAAAGGGAAAGTGGGGTTGGTGGTTGCCGCATTGTTGAGTCACCATGTGTTGCCTAGTAGTTTACACACATACCAGTAGAGAGATTATGCACACGCACACACAGACACACACAGTCTTGGGTGGCATTGACGGGTTAACAAGCAACAGCAGTCTCCATTTTCTATGCCCTCATCGCTTGTTACAAATTGATTGTTTGTGAATGAATCATCTCCATCTGCTGCAGAGTGAGTCAAGCTGTGACTCTGCTAGTCATACTTAAACTGAGGCTCTGCTCAGTTGTAATGATTCAAACCGGAGTGTTGTTTCTTTGGTCTCTGGTAGATACTGTTTGAACTGCAGAGGCAGTTCAAACAAATCTCCAGTTCCCTGAGCATGATCGACTGTATTAATACTGTGAACGACCTTCATCTGCCAGTTTAAGACAAGTTGCCAATGACTGGTTTTCTCATTTCCTGTACTGCCTCAGGTACCTTACATTCTCAAATAGCGGCTGCGACCGTTGTTTACCTTAATGACGAGCCTTCCATGTTAATCTTAACAGTTCCATGTTTTCATGTTGTTTTAATGAATTCATACTGCTGTATTCACTCTGTTTCTATGAGAAAATTTTCTAACAGAAGTTTCATCCATTTGTTTCCATCCACTAAGTTACAATCTGCGAAACTCAACATTTCCTGTGCAAACCTTTCACATTAAAAGTAGGGATGCACCGATCAGATACACCAGATTGGTCCTGGACCAATACTGACCTTATTCAATGCATCAGGTATCTACCATGATGTGACTCATCATTAAACACAGTTTCTTTGTAAATGTCATTAAAAATGGGTATGATTTCTATGCTGAGAAAAAGAGAAGATTTGTTTTAGGATGGTAAGCAGTAATGACAGATCAGAACCAGTATCAGTATCATAAAAAAGTCAAATTGATGCATCCCTAATTATAGTCTGCAGAGGTGCAATAGGCAAAATCACTGTCTTCCCAGTTAGGCTTTTAATTTGAAACATCTGCGAGAAAAGCATTTGTAGTTTTAATGAAAATGTACCTTATACTGAATTTGCCCTGGGAGCCATTATAGATTTGGAAAGTTCACTCCCGCTCAATGTGTTTTAAACACATTTCATTAGTAACTGGCTTTTATTTGCTTAGTCATAATTTGAATACCAGCTTTGATTTGAGAATTCACAGTATGACATGAGATTATTTTCTGCAGGAATTGTCCTTTAAGAAGACATGAAGAAATAAATGAAAATGAGCATCAGTCTTGCCAATTATTGTTTTTTATTTCCACTCATGAGCACCTGCTGGATATCAGATGGCAACATCAACTTCTAGACAACCATAAAGCTCAAGTTTTAGGATCTCAGAAGAGGAGCAGGATCTATATTTCTGCACAGTTCATAGTTTTGTGGTGGCAAGAAAGAGTCTAACAGCTGTGTATTCTCCAAATGAAGATGTTTTTACCCTGCTCTCTTTTTGTCTGCTGGACACCTGCTGTGTTGTAGTGAACCATGGGGGCTCAGCTGCTGTGATGCTTTGTGCATGGTTCCACTGGCCACATGGGATGTTAGCATGGCTCTACTAGGTGACACAAGCCACAGCATGGTGACAACTACAACTTCACGCTCTCTAGGATCAAATGTGCATTGAACTGGAGAGGAGCCCTATGGGGGGGGGCAGGGGAGGCAGTAGTGGGTGAAGGGCTGGTGAAGAGAGAGTGGACAGCGAGAGACACAGCCTCTCTCTTTATATACACACACACACATTCACACAGACTTGACATATGCACACAGTATATGACCAGAAGCCATGGCAGGATGGCACACCCTATACATGTCAGCATCAGATGAGCATTGACCTTGAGCTGGATGACTAAATCACATCGGAGCCAGAGTGTGTCAGGGGGGTAGCTATACAACAGCAAAGACAGACAGCTCATCTGTACACTGCACCCCTCTGTGGAATGAATCAGGCAGTGCAGCACAGTCATATATAAGTCTGAGACTATTTTCCCATTTAAAGGACCAGTGTGTAGGATGTAGGGGGCTCTGCTGGCAGAAAGGGAATATAATATTTATAATGTTTTCGTTAGTGTATAATCACCTGAAACTATGAATCTTTGTGTTTGCATTAGCTTAGGATAAGTCTGCCATGCTGCACCGCTGTGTTTCTACATTAGCCCAGAACAAACAAACCAAATATTGGCTCCAGAGAGGGCCTTTTGCATTTTTTAGATTTAGTTTTTAGAGCATTTTTTGCCTTTATTTTGCTGGCGACAGTGAGAGAGAGACGAGAAAATCAGGCAAAGCCAAAGCCACGGCAGTAAGGACTAAGCCTTCATGGTACGCGCTCTACCAGGTGAGCCACAGGAGCATCCCAGGCCTTTTGCATTTTTACTGTACCTGAAGGCCTCTGTAGGTCCTATACATTTGGAAAGGGAGGGGTGAAGGGAGGGGTATTCAGTTCTGTAGCTTCACTGCTAGATGCCACTAAATCCTACACCTGGTATTTTAAGTAAATGGGAAAGTGGTCTCAGACTTTTGGACCCTACTGTATACAATATTAAGTTCATACATGTATATATGTATATATATATATATATATATATATATATATATATATATATGTATATATAACGTTGAGGTAGCTCTGCAAATACTGCAATAAAATTGGGTCACTATAATTTAAATGGCTAATAGTAGCATTTGTCAATGAAAAGGTCTGGAAACCAGGACTTGTGTGTTTCCAGTAGACACAAACTGAAGCTGTGTGCACTGATCCAGTTTGGTGGATCTGTGTTGGTGCCAACACTGACATTATTAAGTGGGTGGTCTGGTATCAGCCACATGCAATCATTACAAACTAGGCTAATTTTAATGTGTAAAGCTACTGCTGATACTGATTCATCACATCCTACATCCTGCCACTCAGTGTTAGTTAACATTACCAAACATTAACTCCATTCAGTTCTGTTAAAGAAAGATTAAGTGACACATTTTTCCTCCAACAAATTAACTCATAACTCGATTCATAACCGATAAAATTCACCATTCCAGTCACAGCATTGGCAGGGTTGTTTAGAAACATTGCATGGACTACATAAGACAGAATAAGTTGGTTTGTCTCTCGTTACGATGATGCCTTGTAGTCTAAAAGTTAAGAATTAATGTAGTTAGTCTCAGCATTGCCTTACACATACAGGAATGGTCTTCATCAGGTGCACATAGAGCGTTTTACATGTTTTCAATTAGGAAACAGAATATCACTGCTATTGTATTAGTACTTTGGGTTTTGGAAGAACATTTCAGATAGTTGGAGATTAGGTTATGTTGTCAGCTCCCTTTGATTTAATGCTTAAATACAGTGGGTTTCTAAAAGTCAGAAACCAAAGGGCTCTCAGACTTTTGGACGCCACTGTGAATCAGAAGTTGAAGACAGTGTCACATTTTAATGTGGACTGGACCAGCTGGGAAAGTCAAGCAAGAGAAAGCAAGTAATCCTTTATTCCTCATCACTTCTGTTCAGATGCCCTTGAGCAAGACATAGAAGCTCCACTTGCTCCAGTGACTTGAACTAAAGAAGAGCAGTTTTCTTTGAGCTAGATACACATGTGAGCTAACCTGCGTGTGTCTTACCTGCTGACAGATCTACAGGGCTGCGAGGAACCTGGGGTTCAGGCAGCATGGGGCTGTGCTCTTTAGGGGCATCCAACCCCGCTGGGGCTGTAAGATGCTGGGGCTCTGCTATACTTGGAGGTCTCTCTGCTTGGAGGGGGGCAGCTCCCAACTCCACAGTGACCCCCTTCCCTCCAGGTTGGGAGAAACCTAAGGAACAAAGGCAGATGAGCAGGGTCAGTGTTGGAGATTCTTAAGCAAATATACACCAATGGCCTGAAAAAGCACACTGGTAACGAGGGGAAGTAAGAGGGCAGTGGGTGGACAAGGACAAGTGTTGTACTGCACAGTGACAAAGCAGAGACAGAGCAAGAGAAAAAGAGGAATGAAAAACTCGAACAAAATGACACATACTGTTCAATCACAGCACTGCGGTCTAAACATGCACTGTATGTGAGATAAAAACTGACAGAGCCTGGGTGATATTCTGTCTACAGTGTGTGTGTTTTCTGTGGACACATGAATGAGTGAGATTAGTAAAGAGTGTGTGTGGAGTGTGCTTGGTATCTAAGCTAAATTGGTGGAAATTGGGCTACAGAGTAATTTTGAGGCCATTGATGGACACAAGTGTCAACTGTTTGTGTATTTGTATGAGAATGTGTGTGTGTGTGTGTGTGTGTGTGTGTGAGAGAGAGAGAGAGAGAGAGAGAGAGAGAGAGAGAGAGGGTTAGGGAAAAAGGATGTGTGTGTTCAAGCCTGGAGCAGTAATTCGGTGGCCCAGCGACGACAGGTCTCATTAAGGCAGCAGTGAGAGCTGGGTATGCAGAGGTTGGCAAAGTGAAAGGCATAACTCAGCCTCATAGCTCATACTGTGTGTGTGTGTTTGTGTGTGTGTGTGTGTGTGTGTGTGTGTGTGTGTGTGCGTGCGTGTGTGTGTGCGTGCATGCGTGTGTGTGTGTGTGCGTGCGTGTGTGTGTGTCACTGTAGAGTATCAGCAGATACCAAGTAAGTGACAGTAGCAGCTCTGCATGCAACTAACAGGGCGGATTTTACAGCCGCAATTTGGAGGCCTGTTGTTGGACTAAAGTGACATTTTTAATGAGAAAGTTAATCTAATGAGCAAAAAGATTTGGGCACTGAGATGCCATTCATGTTTGTTGTGATGATCCTCAGTGATTGAAGGTTAATGCGTGTTTGTAAAACTGGATTTCTAAAACGTCAATCCCTTATTTCAACACACCATTACCAAAGAATGGATGTAAGAACTGTACACAAATCTCAAGTGGGAACAGCATGAGGGCCTGATGGAAGTACAGGCTGGACATTAATGTAGAAACTGAATAGAAATTGAGTTGAGAAGACCTCAACTTCTAATTACAGTGACACTGATGATTCTGTTGCTAGCATAACTAAGCTGCTTTCCCTTCACAATGCTACACGTTAAGAAACAGATACATGCCTGTGATTGCTCAAACAAGAGCCTATACCTTGACAACATAAGAAGTGTTTTAGCAATGTAACTGACCTGTTGCACTAAAAGCAGCATCTTGTGTTAATAATGTTACTGTGTGTCTCAGCGAGATGTTACACTTGAACCAGCCCACTCTACATCCCGCCCTTCACAGCAGAAGTATCACTGCAAGATGTTGAATGTCTCACTTCAACATGCGAAAAATCATGTGACCATCCCCAGACGCTGAGACTGTCTCTTCGACATAAGTTTGTAAAAACAGCTAGTTTTCAACCTTGAAGTCTTTTCTCTTATAAAACCAAGTTTGTCCAAGTAGGTTTTCTAGAGTGGGGCCTGCTTCGCCTCACTGTTGTGAGCTCATTACTGCCCCTGAGGCCAAAGGGCAGAAAACACCCGCTGGTACTTGACGGCTGGTGAGAACTGCAGTTGTGTGTTTTTTTTCACTCAAAAATAAACTGTGAAAAGCAACATATGCTGTTTTGGGAATTTTCAAACAATATTTTAATCAGACTTCAAGGATGAAGACTAACAGGAGGACTAACTAACACCTCTGCAAAAAAGAGTAGTGCACAGCTGAGCTTTTCTATGAGAGCTATGGGGATACGACTCTGCTAATAATGTTAGCTAGCTACCTGTTTTTGCAAGGAAAAAATACCTAATAAATGGACTAACTTCATTCCACTGAAATTACACAAAGCAAACACAGCAACAGAACAGCTGAGATAGATAAATAATGAACACAGGCCAGCGGCCTAATATTTATAAGAAGAGAAGCTAACATAATGTAACATGATGGAGAGCTACTGAAGTGGAAGTCTGGGAAGTGAAGTAATTTTATTTTAAATCTGGTATCTTCGGTGTACATTTTATATGCTCACTGTAGGAACGACTGCAGGGATAATGAAGACTGTCAAATTACATTACCTAAGCAAAAACTATTTTTCCTCTAAAGAGTTAACAGCTGCTCACTCATGCTGTTACCATTATCTGAGTTTGAAAGTAGAGCGAATGCAGGTAGTTAAGATAATGTCAGGTGAGCAAGAAAAACAAATTTAGTTTGTCAAATTAAAATTTAGATTGACACCCACATGCAATAAGCGAAAAGTGAAGTAAAATAAAACATTTTACATTCTCATCAAAAGACACTGCACTCCCCCAGAATAAGATACCAGGCTTAACCCTGGCTCCAGAGCACTGTTCTGCATAATGGCACTTTCTGCAATAAGCATTTTTTTCTCCACATTCTGGACTTCATGGTTGTTAAACTTATACACCAGATCATCACATACATCATGTCCTAAATGTATAAAACACTAATCTGGCTGTTTTGTATTTCGTCCATCATTAAGTCAAAAGCTTAGGAAATATGTTCACAGAGCAAGAAATCCCTAATCAGTATGTAAATAAAGGCACTGGATGGGCAACAGGTGTCACTACAGGAAGTACTATAATGAAATTAATGAGGGTGTTTCGCTCAGTTTCTCTAATGGCTCTTGTTGAGTAATGGTGAAGGCAATATTTGATTTAGCAGCTCAGTTAAAAACTGTGTTTTTTTAACATTTCATTCAAACTCATTAGTGCTCCTGATGCAAGCGAACACCTTCCTAAGGCAAATGTATTACTTAGTTTCAGTCGTGAAAAATACATGCTACAAAGATGTTTTTGGAGTTATAGTTAGAGTCTGCCATTATTATAGTAGTAGTATCAGTATCAGTGTTTCAGAGAGGCAGTTTGAGAAAATAATGGACGGTATACCTGAAAAAGCTCCCATCAGGCCAGTATCCATCATTTGGGCAGAGCTGGTCTGAGAGCCCAGAGGATCTGAATAACCTGCCATGGAGGCTGGCAGGAGGGAGGCATGGAAGAATGGGAAAGACAATGACAAGAGGGGAGAAGAAAAGAAAAAGAGAAAAAGAGATAAGGAAGATGATGGATGGGTGGATGAGGTAGTCAATGGAGAAAAAGAAGAGAAGGAATAGATGAGAAGGAGGTGGTGCTTAGTCACGAAGGCATTAATAATTTAGAATGGGTGAGGCGGAGGTAGACGACAAGGAGGAGGGAAACGAGAGGTGAAAAACATTGAAATCACAACATGAAACTGCAGAAAGTTCAGTACTGTACATCATTGCTTTAGCACTTGAAAAAACCTAATCAGAAAATGAGGTATATTGTTTTTACATATTCATATATCTATTTTCATACCTCTTGTCTGTTCATAATAAGTATTTATCTTTGTTTGGCTGAGAGCTACAGACAACCAGAGGCAAATTCCTTTGCAAAATTCTTGTTGATTCTGATTCTGTTCTAATAAAAAGTCTTTATAATTACGATTCATCCTGGAGGTGGAATGAAGTCATTTCTTTGGAAGTCACAATCTTGGCTTTCTTTCAAGTACTGCCATTTTTTTTGGCTGTCTGCTGGTGTGCACTGCCAAACGCACCTCTCCCTTCTGCTGCGACATAATTGGCTACTGACTGATTCAAAGCTGAATGGCATCGCACTTCTTTCTATCGTAATTTTTCACTTTTGGCCTCGGCGAAGATATCAAGTCAAGGTTCATTTCAAGTTTAAAGTGAAGTCACAAGTCATTGAAGTCATAAGATTAATGGATCTAGTCTGACTTGACTCCATAGCACTGTTAATAACTATTATGTTAAAGTTCTCTGAAATAAAATCCAACCGTTCACATTCACTGAAAATGCACTAAATGAAGTGCAGCTGTCTCCAAATGCAATAAGTCCAATTATAAAGCAGTTATTGTTCCTATTTAAAACTTAAAATGGCCTGTTAAGACACCAAAACACCATAACAATCACCGAAAAACTATTGCTGCACTATTATGGAAGCAGTAGCATTTTTTATTTTTCATGGCATTCGGAAGTGTTACTTCAGACTGTTGACCTTCGTACCTGATAAAAAGTCTGTAGCCAAGGCCTGTTTCTGGTCAAACGATAGTGGCCGCACCTCTCCCTGCGGCTCCGGGCGTGACGCTGTTGTCTGTCCCCCCGAGGTCAGCTTACAACCTGCAGTGACAACATGGATCATCGAAACATCAGTTCCCCCCTCCTCGCTGATGACGTGTTACTGTACAACCCTAATTTAATGACACGAGGCTGTTCAAATCACACTCCGCTGAACACAAACACACACTCAAATTACCCTCCAAGCAGCAGGCATTTACAAAACATAAACAATTCTATATAGTGAACTTAAATGCTCACATGCACCCGCACATGCACACGCACTCTCACCTGCCAAATTTCCTCCCAAAAGCAGATATCCCAGTCCCATACAACTCAACATGCAGTGGTGTTTCCTATGTGCTGCTCAGTGCCTCTGTCTCTGTCTGTCTCCACTGCAGCCTCAGCTGGCTCTGAGCTACTAACACTGTGAACCCCCAGTCACACACACACTCACACACAATCGCCACACAAAGAGAGACACACACACTCACACACACAAGAATGCAATCGCAGTCAGGGAGTCTGGGTTTGGTGTGACGTCTCACTGTCTGTCTGGTTCAGGTCCCAGGCCCCGCCAGCTAGCGCCTCCCCTCGCAGCCCACCCCCTCCCTCTCTACTCCTGTAGTCACCCTTCAACTCTTGTGCCAGTCTCCAACCAGAGGTCCTAAGTGGACTGCAGAGGAAGGACCCCGACTGGCTGATTTAATGTGGCTGGAGAAGAGGGGGAATAGAGGGAGAAGAGAAGAGGAGGGAAAAGCGAGCGAGGGTCAGAGAGAGGGAGATGGAGTAGGAGTAACAGATAGCAAAGAATTTAGAGAGACGCCGGAAAGAGGATTGAGGGAACAGACAAGGATGTAAGGAGGAAAAAAGGGAGTGAAGAATGGAGGAAAGGAAGGTAGGATGAATAAACAGGAAGGAAGTGAGGAAGATGAGTAACGGAGGGAGGGGAGGAGCGGAGGAAAGAAAGAGGGAGGCACCAGTGGCAACCGTCTCCCAGCAGCGTCCACAGAGGGTGACAGTGAGGCGAACAGACAAGACGCCACCCAAAGTCACAAACGCTTCCATGTATCAGACGCACACAGGGGCCATGGCGGGGTGTGCATTGTCTGTCTCTGCAGGAAGCAGAAAACAGTCCGTCGGCAGGGTCACTGATTGATTCAAAAACACTAGTGCAGCAGCACTCGTCCTCGCTGTCTCGATTTCTGTCTGTCTGCCTCTGTCGTTGTGTCTCTCTCTCTGCCTTGTAAACAAAAAATTTGGGGAAATAACAGGAGACGTGCAAGGTCACAACAGACTCCCCTCGCCAAAACAACATGCGCCGAGCATCTTCTGCTCTTCTTGGTTAAGCCAGTGAAGCAGAAACGTTGCAGGAAACCAGGCGGATGTTTCCCCTGCTGTGCTGTGCTGCTGTCCAAGGTGCTGAAATCAGACTAAGCAGCTTTGAAGGGGCAGTCAGGGGCACTGGTATGAAAACCTTTAATAGTATCCCTATTTGCATTTCAGCCCTTACTGAACCATGTGGGTTGACTCGGGTAGATCACAGCCTTATTTAAAGCTTTGGCCAGAGGGTGTTTTTTTAAATCAGAGGGAGGGAGGTTACGCAAATACATAACCTCAAAGCTGGTAACTGTCTGGTAGGTCCCCATCACTCCAAGAAAACATCTTTTGGGGAAAATTAGCAGCCATGTTAGAGGACCCAGTTGACACAACTAAAGAGTTAGAGTACATGCCTTTTATAGTGGCACTTAAAGGATAATTTCAGCAGTTATGACATTGTACTCGGCAAGTTAATTGCTGAGATCTGTGACCAGGGCAAGAAACACAAGCAGTAAGACACCGATACAAGTTGTAAACAATCTATTAGGTTTGCCCAACTTATTTAGTTGGGAGAACAAAGTTGAATGAAATTGTTACCCAGATTCTCCACTGAAAACATCCATCATACTTTCTAGACCTACTTCCTGGCTCAGCTTACAACCCACTGTGCTCACACAGTTTTCCTGCACAATGAGTTATTTTCACAAACATTTCACGGGGGCTCACTTTCTCACTTGCCTTAAAAAAAAGTGGCTTAGATCAATGGTTCCTATCCTTTGCACAACATACTCAACCCCTTCATCAAACCACCTTGATAGATATGTCCCATTATAAACACGTAGATGCTTATGCATGATCTCTTTTTCAGTCAAGTTTGCATTTATACTTTGTAGGAAAAACTGATCAGTGTTCTGCTAGCCAAAAATACCTTAGGTAGGTGGGGGTGGGATGGAGGAATTTGGACTCAGATACGGCTGCTCACCTCTCATGTCTCTTACCCCATTGGACATTGTTGTATCTGTGTTGTTGCTGCGTGACCAGAATTACTATTGATACAACATTGTTATAACCAGTAGAAACTAACAAACGAGCTGAAATAAACCAGAACTGGTCTTTCTATCATGTAAACTGGAGTTTATCATTAATATCAGACGAGGCATAAAATTCCCAAATGAGCTGAATTTATGAATTTAAGGCTTAAGCTTTTTTCTGTCAGCAAATATTATTGTTCCTAAGGTCTTCCCCTAGTTCAGACACATTTTATGGGAGGTCACTTCAGTCCAGAAGAGAAATTTTCATGCTGGATTTATGCTGTACACACTGGTCTGTGTTTAATGTACCGGTGGTGAACTGCTCAGCTTGAAAGAGGGAGGAAGACCAACTGTGATGCATCAAATGTGAGTGTGTGCATGTGTGTGTGTGTGTTTGAGAGGGGGTGTTTCTTTTTTTTTTTTTGAGCTTGTCCCATGAATTGTTCCTAGTAGAGAGTCACTGCTCGACAGGACGCTTATTACAGTGTCGTCAGTCATCATGACTACTGGACCTTTAACCACTGTCTCTTTCTAGCACGGAGAAGATAATCACTCCTGGGCTTCTATAGCACCATATGTAACCAGCCTGACTGATTCCTAAGGCTAATTTCAGATCCATGGTGTAGAGTTTAAATCCTTGCAAAGATCTTCTCTCATTTCCTGCGAAAATACCTGTTATGATGCAGCGCCTGACCCATGTCAGCGGGTTGTGAGTGGACATCGCTGATCATCAGGCTTGTTATAGAACAGCAATGTCCTGTATGATGGTTTTTTACCAACATTAATATTTGCCTCTTTTTCATTATGCATAGTTATAAATGATTTAAATAACTTTTGTCATTTTAATCTTACATTCTTTTTAAGGATGACTTTGTAACATCTATCCATGAACTACAGAAAAATAGTCTTTTGGCTAACTCAAATCACATGGGTCACACAGGGTTGAAAGACGTTTGAATTCTTGGGTGTAAAAAATGTATTAAAAGAGAAGACTATTAGTATTTCTTTAAACTAGCCTGCTTTCAAATGTCAAAACTAGTGTTCTCTGAAGTCAAGCTGTTATCACGTCTACAGTTTGTGGTGCAGAGAGTTTTAACTTTGAAAAATCACTGAACAGTCTTTCACAAATCATACAAGAAACAAGAAGTAAGAGTTCAGTGAAATGAAGTTGCTAATACAGCAAAGTTGATGTATTATAGATGTGGAAAGTTGTATGTAGGCCTGCTGTTTAAAGCAATAACTAGCAATATGTGACAATGCTGCTAATTCTAATGTATGAAAAATAAAAAATTACAAACATGTAGTGAGACAAGCCTTCTTAATAGCGTAGAAAAGACAATGACTCCATATCCATCTATCGCCATGCATTTTGTATGTGGGTATCATATTTGAATGAGGAAACATATGTAAATGCTGATTGCAATGCATGCAGAACACATTGCAGTTTGAATGTAATTTGAAGGTCTAAGATTTCACTGTCATCAGAGCATCAGGTGTAAATGCAGTCTGTACTGTGTGACCACCTTCTTGAGAAAAAAACCTCCACCCAACAAGTGTAAAGGTCATGTAACTCCACCTGGTCCTGCTGCAGTGTCTCTGATTATCTATCAAAAAGCTACTGAGAAGCCTTGGCAGAAGTAAGGCTACTGAAAAGAAACATACAAATGCTTCATATCAGAGAGATTTTAAAGCTTTAAACTTCTCTTTTTCCAACATATATCTGTGGATCAAACTTGATGACCTGATGTAACCCCAATTATCCAAGAAGGAAACAAGGAGTTGACCTTCGCCCTCTAACAGATAGTGTCACAAAATCTCAGCCACTAAGAGTTAAAAATCTGATCCTGTGTTCAGTGTGGGACTAAATCCCCAAATTATGTAAGAGCTGCCGCTGCTGGGGGGAGGTTGCTGACCTCAGTATGAGGACGAAGTATTGCGAGACAGACTGGAGCAGCTATCAGTCTGACGGATGAACTTTATCGTCTCAGAGGGGTCTGAGGACACATTCACACTCACAGCTCCTCTGCTGTGGCTGCACTAATGTGGACAAACAAATGCGCACACAGCAGCGTGCAAGCACACAGTAAGGCGTGCAAACACACTTCAAGCACACACAGACAGAGAAATGCACACAGAACATGAGGGAAGACACACAAAGTCCTGTCTCCACGACTTCTGAGGACATTACTCTACTCACTCTAACATTAACCATAACTACTACTTGCCTTACCCTAACCTTAAACCCTTAAAATTAAAATCTAATGACTTACATTATGGGGACTTGCCTTTTGTCCCCATAATTCTCCATAATGTGACTGTGTGGACAGATCCAGGTCCCCACAACATGACTAATACCTGGACTACACACACACACACACACACACACACACACACACACACACACACTAGTCTTGCCTAATCCCACTCACGCATGCTCAAGATGCGGAAGTGGCACTGGAGCCTTGTGAGGGTTGTTTTGAGGACAAGCAGCAGATCCAGGATCAGCTGAGGAGGTGGTGCGGAGGTTAGTGGAGGAACGCTGCCATTCAGACTTTGTTATGATAACATCCCTGCCATCTGAAATATGACTCAGGCTACATTTACACTTTCTATTCCTGTGACATTTTCACCATCTGATTACACCGGGCTGTTTGGGATTAAAATCTTCGCTTCTTGTCCACCACTTTGTCTGGTTTTTAACACCATATATGG